AATAGATATGTGAGCAAGTAATTACATATACACGTTTAAATATCAGGGAAAAATTCTAGACTGGGGATATGAACTTGGGAGTTTGAGGGATATGGTATGTAAATTCGTGGATTACACCACCAATGAAGAAAGAGCACATTAGAGAAGAGATTTAAGGAAGGAGTTCTGGGACACTCTACATTTTAGGGGTGAGGAGGAGGAGGAAACCAGCAAAGGAGAGCAATGAGTGACCACTGAGTTAGTAGTAAAACTAAGGGCACGTGGTACCATGGAAATCCAGAGTTTCTAGAAGGAGAGAGGCATCAAATTCTCTGCTGCTTAGGCCACATGATGTGAGAGCTGATGAAAGTTTATTAGATTTCGTGTTGTGAAGATTATAAATCAGTGAGAGTTACCCAGTATAGATAGAGAAATGGATACTGTGAGAGTGGGGAGACTTCTTGGAGCCCCCAGTGAATGAGAGGCATGGGACCAAGAGCATAAATAAAGGAGCTAACCTTCATGTAGAAGGGGCTGTGTTTACTGAGGCTGTGGTTCTCAAAGTGTGGGCCCCAGACCAGCAGTAGTGGCATTACCTGGGAACTTAACTAGAAAATTGTTAGAACTTGTTAGAAAATCCCTGGGCCTCACCCCAGACCTACAGAATCATCATACTCTCTGGGGTGGGGCCCAGCAATCTGTATTTTGCAAAGCCCTCCAGGTGATTTTGATGCAGGCTTAAATTGGAGAATCACCAAAGCTAGGAAACTTTGTTTTATCCTTCAAGGTTTAACTCAAGGGGCACAAAGTTACATGCTTCCTCTCTCACAGCAACTGACGTTCGGCAGGCTTAGAAATGGGGCTGAGCTTCATTTGTTCTCAAATGCACACCACATTAGGGGCAGAACAAGATTTTACAAAGCCTGAAGCTTATATAATTTAGAGGGAGGGGAGCCTTCTTTAGCAAGTAGAATACATAATGACATATACAAAATTTAGTGTAATAGTGAATATTTATTTTGAATGAGAAAATACATCACAAAAAATTCACAAGTTTTAAAATGCTGACAAGTATCTCAAATATCACCAGTACTGAAATATAATGTTTTTATTAAATGCCATATATACCTCTATAATTCTTTATTTTCCAATTTTTCTGCTGTATACTCTTTGATTACATTTTATATCATAATGTTTTAAATATAATTCATATAGAGAAAAAAGATAATCATTTCTGTTATTGTTGATTAAACTTGATTTTGAATTTGTTTTATTGAACATTTAGAAAAATTCCTTTCAGCTTCACAACTAGTATTTGGTTTTATCTAATACATTTGAAAGATAGTAGTCATATTTGTAAAAAGCTCTATCAAGTTTCTTTTACGTGTTAGCTTCAAGATTTCAGGCCAGTTCAGGGTCTTTTGAGCAGTAACTATTTTGAAACACTCTGAATTAAAGGCATTTATTTACCAGCTTGTCTTTGATAATTTTGTTTAATAGACATATTATAATTTTTATGACAAAGTTATCAATGCTAGTATTTTGTATCACTGCAGAAAAAATTTCCATATTTTTCTGATGTATTTATATGATCCCTAGCACTTCATTAACTGGACTAGCAAATATCCAGGAATCTACTCTACTTCTGTCCAAAATTATCTTTTTCTTAAGGAGTGACTGCCCTTGAAATGATTTAAAAATTTTGTGTTAAAATTTGTTTTTATATATTAGAATATTTTCTAGTAATTTTATTAGTTATATCTATCACTTTTAGTTCATAGCTCATTAATTATTGCATCCTAATAATCTTCAGGTTCAGGAGAAAGAAAGTGTACTTCATGTACATCCTAATCAGAAGTCTGTAATTTCTCACTTATTTTACTGCAATATTGCAAAATGCCTTTTTGAAATACAGTTAAAATGTTGTACTCAAGCTTTATAAACTTATTAGATTATAATTTCACAAACTATTTCATATTTGGCATTCTCTTTAAAATCTTCTGAATATATTATAGAGCCCCTAAAATGTCATTTTACCCATTGTTGCAAAGCTTGAACAGCTTTATCAGGGGCAGAACATCGCTTCACACTTAAGAAAAACTCAAATTGGCATGTGTGGTTAGAATTAGCACACTATGAGACGAATCCAGTAGAAAACATAACTGCTACAAACTACCAAAGTGGTCAACATCTTCAAGTATTATTGAGGTATTGTTTTTTCCAATGAGATTATCTTTGCCCACAATATTGGGTGAGCAACACTCCAGGGGACTCTCAGAAGTACAAGGGCTGCCCAGAAAGTACCCAGCCACGTAATACGAAAAATTCTGAAAATTATGGCTGGATACTTTCCAGACAGCCCTCGTATTCCTGGACCATCCTTATGCCAGGATGGCTAGCAGTGACTTAGATACACGGAAGTGCTTGTGAACCTTATAGACCTAATCCACTCTCTCCAAGTCAACTTCCCATTTGGCTGATCCTCCAGATTTCTGAAATCACTCCAAAGTCAATCAAAGAATGGGGAAATATATGCAGGATGAGAAAAAGAGAGCAGTCTTAAACCATTGCTGCTGAAATATCATTAACTTGGCAATTTTTACTTATGACGAAGTGAACACATTGGCAGGGCCCCTCTCAAGGCCCTGGAGGGTCCTATGACAGGGAGAGGTCATAGAATTTAAGCTTCATTAGTGTCAGGGTAATTCTGCCTCTCTACTTGTCTAGCTCTCCCTTATGTTCCTTCGGGCAGAACCCTCTAAGGTAAGTGATGATTTTTCTAACATCCCTTATTCATTTACCTGGGATCAGAGCCACACCCCCATCATCCTGCATCCTGTATTACCTTGGAATGTTTAGCAGAAATGCAGTTAGGTAACCAGAGATGACAATCTTCACACTCCTCTTGCTTGCTATGTTGACTTACAAACGATCTTTGGGATGCTTTAACTTTGACAGTGAAGAAAAGACATTAGATGGACACGAATGAATCTAACACAGTAGCTCTTATGCTTGAGAAAGGGTTAAAAAATGCTATTCTGGCATATTGGCTATTTAAGTTAAAGACACTTGAAAAGCAGCAGATGCGAAAAGATCACTTTGACCTTTGTGCTGTTTCTTAAATGCAGAAGATGAAATTCCCATGTGAAAGACGCCCTTTGTATACCAAAAAGATGCAACATTCTTATCCTCAAGGATGTGAAGTCAAAACCGAGAGCATTCTATACAGACCTTCTTAAAAACAGCTCTTACCTTTTAACCCTCCCCACATAACTTAGTTGCTTCTTCATAACCATTCTTTGTCCAATTCTGTATATAGGTAACTGACACTCTTTCTTTGAGCTTTCGTTTTCTTATGAGGGCCTCTGTGTCATGTAAAACTTGCATTATGCTTTTGTCCTGTTGTTAATCTATGTTATGCCAATTTAATTCTTGGGCCCAGCTGGGACCCTAAGATGATAGAAGTGGAGTATTTTCACTCCTACACCTAGATGGCAGGACCAACCACCACCAGAGGAGGAATTTTGCAGTGCTGGTAGTTTCATGGTGTGTACACAAGGTACAAAGAGAAACACCAGGACTGTTTAGGGGTTGCAGATTGTTACTATAATGAGACTAGAGCCAACCAAATTGAGTGTGGAATGGCAGAGATGTTCTAGTCTAGGGATGGGCGTTATCATAAATGTCTGTAAAACTTCCACTCAGAGCTGTGGATGAACATCTTGCAGTCAATGTTTTACCTTAAAAACGTATAACCTAGATTGATGTTTGTTGTTACTGTTTTTTTTTTTTTTCCTATTAACTTAAGAGAGGCCACAACCCATCAAGGGTGTCCTAGAACTGGAAAAATGTACTGCATGTTCTACTATGGCACTGGTCACAAGACACTACGAGTAATGTGCTTCCTCTATGCACCTCAGTCTAAGCTATGAACTCTCTGAGGACGGGAAACTTGTTTCATTGATCTTTGTGTTCTTCCTACCACTGCTTCTTCTCTCTGCCCTCGCCCAAGTCCTTCAGCTTTGGCTTATACAGTTCTTCTTCCTTGAAATTTGTTTTACGAGTGAATCAATGAATAAATAAGTGACTGAGTGAATATCTTAGTTTCTCCTGAAAAGATTTTTACTTATAATTAATCTCATCCATTCTGTGCTTATTATTTTAGTTAGGCGATTATATTGGAAAACTGTAGCCTAATAATAAATATTTAAAAATTTAAGTTATCAGTTTCTATATATCAAAGTTTTAGAACCCCTTTGCCTCTTCTCATTTATAATTCCTATAAATTAGATAGGAAAGAAAAAAAGGAAGTTTCAGTGAGGCAAATACTAGCTTTTGCTTCTCATGTAAGGAGATGATAGTACTGACTCTTGGCTGCAGATGTTTTATTAGTCAATGGTTTTGTGAATTGGAGCAAATCTATTTACTTTCTTAACTTGCTTCTTCCAGTGCCTACAGGTACACAAGGTGGGTGACTTGGCGAGAGGTGTCATCTATGACCATGGAACAGAATCAAGATGGGAACCAGGGGACCAGGGAACCAGGATGTGAATAAACTAGAGGTATCCAAACCAGTCTACCAAGCAAAAATCAAAAATACAAATGACATTTGAGGACCTAAAACAAATTTGATCTCTATTTTCATAGTATCTCTAACCCATTGAGGTTCCATGAGGGCAGGCACATTTTTGGTCATGTTCCAAGTTGTGGAGTTGTAGGTGAAGGCAAACACCTATCATACGCGATGCAAGCACAAAGCAAGCTTTATCAAGAAGACTTAAAGGCAAATGATTGGCTGAATGATCTGTGGAAACCGCACGCTCTCAGCATTTTACCAAGGGAGATGCAGGGACTAGCTCACAGCTGACGCATCACACAATGGGGTCTAGAGAGACCCCAAAATCTTGCTGCTCTACTTTTATTTTATTTTATTTTATTTTATTATTTATTTAGAGTCCAGCAGCTTTTATTAGGTTTGTCTCCTATACCATGAATTCATAGGGAATAGATTCTGGCAGCTCAAGGTCCTTTCTTTTGCTTCTCACAGGTGTGCTATACCTATTATGCCATGAATTCATAAGGAATAGGTTCCGGCAGCTCGGGCTCCTTTCCATTGGTTCTCACAAAGTGTGCTTCTCTGGGTGGAGCAGGCTGTCGCTTCAGTTGAACCCAGGTACCTTTCTCTTTGGCTTCCTTCTTTTTCTGATCATTTTCCTTCACACGCTTCAGGAAGCTATCTCGGCTCTTAGAGTGCTTAATGTGCTCGATATGTACATTAATCCTCTTGGCAAGAATCTTGCCCTTAACTTGTTTATTTACAACAATTCCAACAGCATGCTGGGTAACGTTGTAGACTCTTCCAGTTTTGGCATGGTAACATTTGTGGGGCATGCCTTTTTGAACAGTACCCATTCCCTTGATGTCTACAATGTCACCTTTCTTGTAGATTCGCATGTATGTGGTCAAAGGAACAACTCCATGTTTTCTAAAAGGCCTACAGAACACGAATCGGGTGCCTCTCCTCTTTCCCTTTGTGTTCGTCATTTTGGCGAATTACTGGAAGATGGCGGCTCCATGAAAGGTTGCTCTACTTTTAGAGAATGTGGGACAATGAGGGATTTTGTGGGCATGAGGGAAGCTTGCAGAGGGTGTGCAGAGGGAAGACAGGTTGAGCTTCGGTGCCAGGGACCCAGCAAAGGTGGATTTCAGTGTGATATCCTCGAATCCTTCATTCATGTGGGGTAGGGGTACTGGGTTATCCGGGAAGTAAGCAAGGTAGTCTTAGGCCAGTGCCAGCGACAGGATAAGCACTCATAAGTAGCACTTGAAAAAATACCTAATTGAGAATTACTATTGTTAAAGTCCACTACAAAGTTTTCATAAGCGTGAAATGAGATATTGAAAGACATAAAACACAAAATGTGGGTGATTGGGAAGAACAGTACTAGAACGGCAAATAGAAGAACAAGGAGCCACAGTGAGATATAAAATAAAATATAGGAAATAAGTGGAGAGAAAATATATGAGAGTTAAAAAGAAAGTCAAAGTTTGGCCTGAAGCAGGAGCGAGGCTTGTAAAGTTAGCTTCAAAGCACGGTTAGAATGAAAAAGAAATTACAGCAGACGGCAGACATGTTAATGAAGCTGAAACAATATTGAAAAACAGCCCATTATCGTTACTTAAATTAAAAGGGAAGACAAAGTTAATACCTCAGACATCACTAGAACAGAGTAAGAGCCAGGCTGAGCCACATTCTCTCACCTTCCTCCTGCTTTCTCCATCTTTCCTGGAAGACTGAGAAAAAGAGGTTGAAGAAAATTAACTCAAAAAAACTTTGGCTGTAGTTATATGTTTTCATAATTACAGTGAAATGAGTAAGAGAGATGTAGCTTGGAGTAAGGGATACAATGTGTGTAAAATCTCGAGAAAGTACTCAAACACTTTAGAAAACTCAGAATAAGTGTATAGTAAATAAATGATAGGGAGGAGGGAAAGACTTGAAAGAAAAAGGATGCAATATTTATTTATTCCTTTTCTAGAAGAAGATGAAAGGGCCAAGTATTTAAAAATCTTTTACCAAAATAAGAACAATTAATCTTTATTTCTTTGCCTGCCTTTTTTTTTTCTTTAGTTTTTTGGCAAATCTCTCAAATATTTTGTAATAGCTCTAAAGAACTGAGATTATACTTTCTTCAAGTAACTATACTCAGCCAACTCAAATCACTATTTGCTCCTAGTACAGTCAAACTTAAATCTTCCCTCACTGTAGATCTTATTGGACAAAGATAAATTTCATTAGGAAAGATAATACTCTCCGAAGGAGGAGAGACAACGGGACCAGAACCAAGCGGATGAACTGTCCCAACTAAGCCCAGCACAGATCAACTGAGTCCTGCCCAGAGGAGGAGCTGAGTCCTGCCCAGATTGCAACAATGTAGCAGAGCCTAGCGTAGATAGCGTGTGAGCCCAGCCTCCAGACATGTGGGCTAAATCAGTGCATTTTGGTACGTCCCGTTAAGATATTTTTGATTGACACACAACATTATTGTGGTCTGACTTAACCGATACAATATAATTTCCAGTGTTTTTATCAATTTACACTCCCACCAGCAATGTATGAATGTTCTTATAAGAAATAGGAAAAACCAAAGTGTTGTTTCCACTCCCACACCACTCACTGCAGAATACTTCACTTCTGGTCACCAAAATTTCTCCCCACCAATAGAGATTGAGCCCATGCTTCGAAGTGAGGTATCACAGGAATGGAAAAACAAGCACCACATGTACTCACCATCAAACTGGTACTAACTGATCAACACTAAGGTGCTCACATAGTAGTAATGCTTGCTGGGTGCTAGTCAGGTGGGGGGGGTAGAGTGTGGGCAATGGAGCGGATGAGGTGAGTAAACTCACAGCTAGTGGAGACAGGACACACTGTATGGGGGAAGGACACATTTGTGGCCCTGGCTTGAGCAAGGCAAATGCATTTCATGTAACCAAAATGTTTGTACCTCCATAATATCCTGAATTAAAAATAAATAAATAAATCAATAAATAGAAATGTATTTTCCCAACTAGTATAAATAAACAAGTAAATAAATAAAAATGTATTTTCCCGATTAGTAAAAATAAATAAATAAATAAAATGCCTCTGTTTGCCTCATGTTTACTAACATCCCATTGGCTGAAACAAGTTACATGATCAGGCTCAATTTCAATTCATAAAAGTAAACTCACTCCTCCTGTGGAAGCAAGGAGGAGCGAGAGATTATTTCTGAACCATATCCAATCTACTTTCTATGGGAAAAGTTGAAGATGTACTGAAGCTTATTTCTCCAAAGTACTTTGTCTGCTTAAGGGGTCCGTATTCCTGCAGGCACCTATTCACAATTGTAGGAACTTGTGAAACTCTTTTAAAAAAAATCTGTAGTGTCTTCTCTTACTGTTATTATGAATGGCTACACCTTTCTGGGTGCCTATCATGTGCCAAGTGATTTATATATACTATCAAATTAAATTCTTATAACATTCCAAAAAAAAAAAAATGTCTCCCAACAACAGTTCTCCAGGGACTGAGCATCCTCTAATTTAATTCAATTTTGACATTTTCTACTTGGAGTTAGAGTCATATTTCACATGTGAAGGGCTCAGTCCCACAAGACTGCCCCCACTTCAGATGCCAGTCACAAGTAGTAAGTTGTCACCTATATTTCTGACCTACCAGCTATAAAATCGAAGTTTTGGCTATCCCCTCCTTGGATTTGATTAATTTGCTAGGATGGCTAACAGAACTCAGGAAAAAATTTTACTTACATTTATCATTTTATTATAAAGGACACCACAAAGAATACATGAACAGCCAGATTAAGAGATTGATAGGACACGGTATTGGGGGTGGAGAGAGAGGAGCATCAATGCCCTCCAGGACCTACAAGTGTTCTGCTCTCTGGAAACTCATCCAAACTCTGGCCTTTTGGGTTTTTTTCTAGAGGCTTCATTACTTAGGCATGATTGATTGCATCATCAGCCATTGGTGATCAACTCAACCTTAAGCCCCTCCCCTCCGCTCCCCTCAGTGGTCAGTGGGTGGGGCTGAAAGTTCCAACCCTCTAATCCCATGGTTGGGTCCCCTGGCAACCAGCCCCTGCCCTGAGGCTGCCCAGGAGTCCACCAAGAGTTGTCTCCTTAGAACAGAAGATGCTCATAACACCGGGAAAATTTCAAGGGATTTAGGGACACTGTGTCAGAGGCTCCTATCGCTCAGGAAATAACACAGGTCTTATCTTAGGGGCTCTGTTTCAGGAGGTGGGGCCAAAAACCAAATATTAGAACAAAAGATTCTCCTAGTATTCCTGTGTACAAGGTTTCAGGAACTCAATGTCAGAAACCAAGGGCAGAGAGCAAGTATAATATTTCTTATTATATCACAACATCAAGTTCGGTTTGACCTAAATTGTTGCCAACATTGTCACTATCAGCCTGTTTAATTTTAGGCACTTTGGCTTTGTAGTAGATTTTATTTCGGTTTTAATTTCCATTTTCCTGACAACAAGCGAGCACCTTTCCATACCTTTACAGCCATTTCATATCTTCAAGCCTCTCGCCCATTTATCTATTGGATTTTTTTTGACTTACTGATTTGTGGAAATTCTTCATATATTGTAGACCTAAGTCTGTTGTAAGTTATATGTGTTATAAATCACTTTTCCCCTTCTGTGGTTTCACTCTTTATTGGTGTCTTTTTGTGACTGAAAGTACTACTCTTACCATAATCTAATTTAATAATCTTTTCCTTTGTGGTTAGGAACTTTGTGTGCATCCTGTTTAAGAATTATTTTCCCACAATGAGAGAATAAAAATACTTTTTCGTGTTATCTTCAAGAAACTTTATTAATTTCCCTTCATATTTAGATCTATAATCTTCGTGGATTTGATTTTTGCAGATAACTTGAGTAGGAATGATGGTCAGTATATTTTCTCAGTCACATTTTTTTCTTTCTCTCTTACTGCTCTGCCCTTTTGTTACCTTTTTCATAAATTAATAGTTCATAATGTATGTCCCTAATCTATTCCATTGATCTGTCTATTCTTGGAAGAATACCACATTGTCCCCTAATTATTGTAGCTTTAAATTGACATCTAGTAGTGCAAGTTTTCCTACTGTTTTTCTTTTTCAATAGTGTCTAATTAATCTTGATTCTTTCAATTTACATACGCATGAGAATCAACTTGTCAAACCACACACACACACACACACACACACACATACTTCTTGAGATTTTTAATGGAATTGCATTAAATTTATAGATCAATTGAGTCTTCCAGTCCATGAATATTTAAGTTTTCTTTAATTTCTCTCAACAATATTTTGTAAAATTCTGCATAAGAATTTTACACATCTTTTGTTAGATTTGTTCCTAGATATTTTCTTTGCAGATTTTATTGTAAAAGGCATTTTTTACAAAACATCATTTTCTGACTACCTTCAGTTCAGCAACCCTATTAAGCTAAAATATTATTTCAAAAAATTATCTGTAGATTCATTTGAATTTTATATGTATTCAGTCAGTCCATCTGAAAAATAATAAAATAATTTTTCTTCTATTATAGTCCTTATATATATATTTTTTATGTCTTCTTGCATGACATAAGAAAGGGTAATAAGTAGACATCTTTATCTTTTTCCTAATTTTAGAGGGAGACTATTGAAAATGTCAATCATGCAGAATTGCCCATTCTCAGAGGGAAAGTTTTCACCAAATATCAAGTGTAACATCTGCTCTAAGTATTTTGTAGATATTTTTTTATCAGGTTAGGAAAAAAACTTTTATTTTGCAAGAGTTTTCCCATGGAAGGGCATTGTTTTATTAATATGGTGAAATATTGAATTTCTAATGTTAAATGAAATTTTTCTTCATGAAATAAATCCTTTGTCAAGTTTTATTTTTCTCTTGTCACGTTGTTATATTTGTATGCCAGTATTTGTTTAGTACTGCTTCATTTATGTTCATGAGTGATATTGGACTGAAGTGTTTCTTTCTTAAAATATCCTCATCAGATTTTTGATATCA